ATCTACTTCCGTAGTGATACTGCCTCGGAAACCCAAGGAGGGGTCGCTATGAGTCGGGTCTGACTTGACGGCACATAACAACAACAACAACAACAGCATTTATTTAGCAGTTACTATGTAGGAAGCACTCTCATAAAATTTACATGTGGTATCTCCTGGTCAAGAAGTCCTGGTAGCACAGTGGGTAACAGCTCAGCTGCTAACTGAAAGGTTGGTGGTTCAAATGCACCAGCTGTTCTGTGGGAGAAAGAGGTGGCAGTCTGCTTTCCTAATGATTACAGCCTTGGAAACTCTATGGGGCAATTCTACTCTCTCTTATAAGATTGCTATGAGTAGGAATTGATTCAATGGCAATGGGTTTCCTTTTGCTTTATTTTTCCCCACAATAACTATTAGTGCCTTTTTTAGAATGAAATTCAGTCCTTCTCTTAGATATTCAAGATCTTTGCTTATATACTCAATATTTTTCAAAAATATCTTTTCCTCAAGTTACAGGCCATTTATGCACTCCATCTATTTTACGTTGCTATCAATGGCATTTGAGCATAGCAGCTAACCTCTTAAAACTGACTTTCTATTTTGAAAATGACTTGAGAGAGACCTTCTTTTTTGTGTTTAATTACATTGGCTTTTTCCACTACCACCACCTTTGACCCCTCAAGGAGGCTTCAGAATGAACTGTGAGCAATGTTGTTTCTGTTTTATTGCCACTAGAACCTTCTCTGTGCCGTGTTTCCATTTTGAAAAGAACAGTCTTCTCAATTTTACTGTTTAACAATCATGAAAATACTTTTGCTTCATTCATGCTTTCTGGGATTTTACATCTGTGCCTTACGTTACACTCCCAATGTGACATTGAGAGTACACAGTGTTTTATAATCTGAGCTTTTTCTTTCAGTTCCAAAAGATGTGCTTCTTCCCCATAAACAAGATCCTGAGGTCTCTCAGAGTGAACCTGGTAAATGAATTATTTTATTCTCCCAGCTAAGAAGTGTAGGTTTTAAAAAATAATCTTGAGATAAATATATTTTTTAATGGTTGTAATGCAGAAGAGGTTAGGAGAAAATTATGGATATATAATGTATATTTCTTTGGTGGGGTTTAATCATAAAATCTGGTTGAAATATTTTTTTTTCTGATTAATATGTGGGGAGTAGTACATAATTTGTTCATTTTCCCTGGAAGTATGTTTGTCAGATGAAAGATTATGCTGTAATTATAAGAAATAATTATTAACTAAGCTAACCATTTTCACCTTTAAAGAAAAAAAAAAAGTGTATGTAGCCAGTCACCTGTCATTACAGTTGTGGGTATACTTTTAAGTACAAAGTTTGGATACTACTCAAAAATTGTCCTCAGAGTGACAGTGAATGAGAATTTAAAAGTTTCAGCTAAACTAAATTGTTATCTGACATATAGAATTTTCTCACATCTATAGTGGTTGTCAGAGAGTGCATAAATGTTCAAATAGATACTTCTAAAAGTACAGAAACTATTTTAACCTCACCAAGTAGTAATTCTCATAAATGTCTTTCTTTGGTTTGCTTTTGGCATAGTTCTGCAACCTGTTACTTTTAGAATTGATCAACCAAAGACAACAATAGGTAATGATTTTCCCATATTAACCACATCTAATTTTTTGTTCCCTTTGCAACAATCCAGATTGTAAGTCTTTCTCAATGATCATGTTGAAACATCATCTCGTCTCAATCCATCTCATCATTTCATTCTTATTTAGCATCTTTTCTCTTTCTTACTTGTTCCTAAAGAGTTGGCACTGAGTCATTATTATTATTAATCTTTCCAAAGTAGAAAAGCAATGGTTCACAGTTATAAAGGCTTTGCTCTGAAGACCAGCTTGACATAGCTCATCACTGAATCTATCCTCACCTACCTCATTTTAGTAACATGTTCAAACTGATTCCACCTGATTCATGCCCATCTAGTTAACATTTTCTGCCACTTCAATGGTTCCCGTACTCTCATGTTAACCACAAAAAAAAAAAAAAAGAAAGAAAGAAAAACTGCCATTGAGTTGATTCTGACTCATAACAGAGTCAGTATCTTTGGGTTTCTGAGGTGGTAAATTTTTATGGAAGTAGATTGCCCAGTCTTCCTTCCACAGAGTGGCTGGTGGCTTTGAATCACCAACCTTCTGGTTAACAGTCAAATGCCTTAAAGATGCTACAAGTAGTTCATTATTAATCTTGGTTAAAATACTCAAATCTGCCAATAATTTATATTTAAAAATAAACTTGAGCAGACTCAAGATTAACCCACACTGATGTTATTCTCACTCATTTTGCACTCCAGTATGCTGTCCTAGGTGGGAGAGATGAGCAAATTCTGAAGTTAACACACCAGGAATGTGTGTAACTCACACTACATCTTGACAGCGTATCCTCACAGAGTGTGTCAACAATAGCATGCCATTTATTATGTATACTGGTAGGAAAAAAGTTGAGAACCATTATCCTGACATTCCCATAGTCATTGTCCTATCATTTCTGTGCACGCTCTCTTCTCCATGACTCATTTCATGTTGTTTTGTTTTGTTTTCTATTTCAAATGGAGGTATCTTGTGAAATACTGATCTGGCCTGGTGCTGGCTTTTGAATGTAACAATTTACAACCTTGGCACTTTTCTTTTGCAGCTCCTTTAGAGACACGGGGAATCCCTTTTATACCTATAATTTCACCTAGTCCCAGTCAAGAGGAACTACAAACCACTCAGGGTAAATTTTTGTTTTGTTATTTCAGTCCAATGTGGGACTTTTAGGGACCTATTAATGATTGCCCTTAAAACAGCCATATATATGTACATTGTGTTCAAGAGTTGTTTCCAAACAAGAGAGAGTCTCTTTTTCTCATTATAAGAAATATGCATATTACTTGATTCTTTTGCATTATCTGTATATTTGTTCTAAGATTCATGCTGTTTTTCAGTATAAGATGAGAATGTTTTAAAGTAGATTGACAAAATCCTAAGTAACCTAAAAGGAAAATTTTCCTAAAGTACATAAATGCTGTGTTTTCTATTGCTTTTGAATTGCATTTGCGGTTATAACTGCATGGGGGGGGGCGGGGATCAGCTATCTAATACTTACTGAGCCCTAAGCATCATGTTAAGCAATGGGAATTTAGGAAAAAAAAAAAAAAAAAATTGTTAAAGGTGAGGCCTTTATCCTGAACAGCTCACTATGGTGACAAGAGTCAGTGGCAATCATGCCTCCCTCTGTCTCAGCCAATGTCCTACATGTATTTTTTGTTTAAGCCACATAACATTTCTATGAGATAGGCTCTTTTACTTGCCCCATTTTACAGATTGGGAAACTGCAGTATAAAGACATTTAAAAATTGGGCCAAGATCAGAGTCAGGATTGGAAGTCACATACTGTTATCACAGTGTCTAAGATCAACCCACATTATACAAGGCAGTGAGTGTGATAAAGAAAAGAGCCATATGCTGAGCAAGCAAACTACATGGGGCATCAAGGAAGTCTTCACAGTGGAGGTGACATTTGCCCTAGGTCTTTAAGTTAGAGTGAGACAAAGATATGAAAGGTCTTTCAGATTAAAGGCGCAGAATAGAAAAGAGGGTTGGGACCAGCACAGACAATAGCAGCTAGACTCATGTGATGAGCTTGTGGGTTGTCTGGAGAAACAAGGATGAATGAGTCTGGAAGAAGGGTTGGATGAGCTTGTCATGCTTGTGAGGAGTTTGGCAGGAACATATTCACTGTGTGGAAAACCTCAGTTTGCCTGACTCTTGGCTGAAAATGCACTGGAAAACAAAGGTTCCAGGCTTGTATTTGTTGGCTCCTCTGCCCTGTCTATGCTATATCCCACATGGCTATGTTTAAATCAGGACCCATACTTTTCTCCTTTCATTCCTTTTCCAATAAAGTCATCCTTTGCATGTGTCTACTGAAATGATGTTATTGATCACATTTTAAGACGAAATGCTTTTCTAGAGAAAAAAATTGAGTGTGCAAACTCACCTTAATTAATGAGTAGTTAATGTTCCTCTAGTCTAGCCTAGACCTGCAAAGTCAATACCACCCATGTACTTAAAAAAGTAAAAAATGGGTGGTTAAAAGTACTTTTCAAGAAACTATATATAATACGTATCTAACTTCCACTCTGTTTTTTAAATATCTCTTGATTTATAGAAGCAAGAATCATCACCTGTCAACTGTCACAAGTAACTCTCTTGTGAGCAGAATCAAGAGAATAAAAGCAGGGCAGAAAACTATTTCAGTGTATTAGTTGCACCAAGTACTTGCATCCAGTGTGTGGCAAAGTGAATGATGCAATTTTCTATATCTGTATGATGTAATGATTGCAGGATAATATAGAGATGGAAGTATTAGCCTACCCTTTTTTTTTTTTTTTTTGGTCAGGGGAAACATCTCCTTATGTCAACAATATAAACATAGATTTTCACATGAGGAAAATAGAAGAATATTTATTCTTGTGTGGTATAAAGGAGCTCTGGTGGAATAGTGCCTAAGGCACTGACTGCTAACCAGAAGGCTTCAGATTCAAACCCACCAGCCACTCCTCAGAAGGAAGGCTGGGTAATCTACTTCAATAAAGATTTACTACCCGGGAAACCCAATAGGTGTAGCTATGAGTCGGAATCGACTCGATGGCAGTAGGTTTGTTTTTTTTGGTTTTGGTGTGGTGTAAATATACCTCTTTTCATATGATGTTTCCTTCTAACTCATCTAAATTATCTGTGAAATTTTTGGACTAGGGAAGAGAAATTAAGATAATATATAAAGACAGTTTAGAGGCATTTGTATAGGAATAGCACAAAAGATATTAGAAGATCCTATTTGTTGTTGTTAGGTGCTATCAAGTCACCCTATGTACAACAGAACGAAACAATGCCCAGTCCTGCACCATCCTCAAAGTTGTTCCTATGTTTGAGTCCATCGTTGTAGCCACTGGGCCAATCAATTTTGTTGAGGGTCTTATCCTTTATGACGGACCCTCTAAGTTACCAAGCATGATGTCCTTCTGCAGGGACTGATCCCTCCTGATAACATGTCCAAAGTACATGAGATGAATGAAGTCTCACCATCCTCCCTGCTAAGGATGTTTGATTTCTTGACTGCTGCTTCCAGGGATTTTGATTATGGATCCAAGTAAAATGAAATCATTGACAACTTCAATCTTTTCCCCATTTATCATGATGCTGCTTATTGGTCCACTTGTGAGGATTTTTATTTTCTTTATGTTGAGGTATAATCCATGCTGAAGGCTGTAATACCTGATCTTCATCAGTAAGTGTTTCTAGTCCTCTTCACTTTCAGCAAGCAAGGTTGTGTCATCTGCATATCGCAGGTTGTTAATGACTGTTCCTCCAATCCTGATGTCGTGTTCTTCTTCATATAGTCCAGCTTCTCAGATTATTTGCTCAGCATATAGACTGAATAAGTATGGTGAAAGGATATAACCCTGACACATCCCATCCCTAATTTTAAACCATGCAGTATCCCTTTCCTTCTGTTTGAACAACTGCCTCTTGATCTCTATACAGTTCTGCATGAGACAATGAGATCCTTATAATAATAATTAAGATGATAGTGTAAGAAGACAGCAAATATAATAGATATATAATTAAAAGTCATAATATTTCACATATTTAAAAGCATTTTATCCTTTTAGCACTGCATATGAATATGATTTTTTGGCATGTTTGTAAAGATAACTATGTTAAAACAAACCATCTTGCTGTGTTTTCCCCAACAGAAACAGACCAATCCACCCAAGAGCACTTCACAACTAAGATTCCACGAACAACTGAATCAGCAAAGACAACTCAGGGTAATACTACTTCCCTACCTCTGAACAGTAACTTTTCCTTATTTGTTTTTAATCTGGAAAGAAATTTTCTTTTCAGCACATAATTTCTGCCTAACCAATGAGCTGACTTTTTTAATTTCCTAAGTGCAGCACATCAGTGTTAGAACTTTGCTGTTGAATGTATTGTTGACTGCTGAATACTGATAACCAAAAATGAAAGCTCCCATTTCTTTTCTTGCTTGACTTTCATCTGCCTCATTCATTTAACATCTGATAAATGAGATTTTCATTATTGTTCTTCTTCTTCTTCCCATCCTCCTCCTCTCCCTCTCCTTTTTCTCCTTCCCTTGTTTCCTCTGTCCTATCACCTCTCTCTACTGGACAGAACACATTGATATTGTGGTCTTGGAGTTCCTGGGTGCAGCAAATGGTTAATGTGCTAGGCTGCTGACCAAAAGGTCAGAGTTCAAACCCACCCAGAGGTGCCTTGGAAGAAAGGCTTAAAGATCTGCTTTCAAAAAATTAGCCATTGAAAACCCTGGACAGCACAATTTTACTCTGACACGTATGAGGTCACCATGACTCTGAGTTCACTCTGGTTATTGGGGCCAAGAAAAGAAACTATTAAGAAAACTGATTTTGTTTGTTTTTGATCCCTTAATATTTGAAGTGGGAGGTTTTCTCTGGGACTTCCTACTTTCATTTCTACTTTAGGGTTCCCTAATTTTTGGAATGTGAACTTACCCACATGTAGCCATATCTCATCTTTGTGCTCTCAGAAGTTTTTCCTTTTTATGTTTTTCTATCAAACATGGGTTAAAACATTCATAATATCCATCCAAGTGTCCGTGGAGAACTATTCTTTTTGCTGCATTATACAAAGAGAACCAGAAGGTTGGCGGTTCAAACCCACCCACTGCTCTGCAGTAGGAAGATGGAGCAATCTACTCCTGTAAATACTTACAGCCTTGGAAATCCGATGGGGGTTGTTATGAGTCAGAATCAATTCTATGGCAGTGAGTTTGGTTTTTTTGGTTTCAGTGCAAGAAAAGGCTCAAAGCCATTTCCATGATTTAAGGGCTGCACATGCAGCAAGTTAAAGTGATTGTGGTTAAGAATTTGTTGTGAGTAGGAGTTTGTTCAATTGTTTCAAAATGAGGAAAAATTTACATAACATTTAAGAGGAAGAAAGAAAAAAAACTCACTGCCCTGCAGTGGATTCATAGCAACCCCTCCTTGGGTTTCCAAGGCAGTATCTCTAGTGGTGTAGTGCCTAAGGCATTTGACTGCTAACCAGAAGCCTGGTGATTCAAACCTACCAGCCACTCCTCAGAAGGAAGATTAGGCAATCTACTTCTGTAGTGATACAGCCTCCGAAACCCAAGGAGGGGTGGCTATGAGTTGGATCGACTCAACAGCAGGGAGTTAGAGTTAGTTGAGTTAGCTATCTCTATGGAAGTAGATTTCCCAACCCGGTCTTCCTTTCAAGGAGTGGCTGGTGGGTTTGAACCGCCAGCCTTCTGGTTAGCAGTCAAATGCATTAGGCACTACACCACTAGAGTTCCTTAACATTTAAGGGCAAGTACAAATTGTCCATAGACTGATGTTTGTAATCTGAGGACTTACTATAATGTATTTTACTTTATTTTCTTCTTATATGCTAAGGATCCTTAGCTTAAGCTGAGCCTAAATTGTGTTACCCTAGGATTCATACTTCTCTGGGCTTGTGCCAAAATCTTAGAGCCCTTGTGGTGCAGTGGTTAAAAGATGTGTCAGCCTGCTTCTGTATAGGTTACAATATTGGAAATCCTTTGGGGCAGTTCTACTCCGTCCTATAAGGTCGCTATAAGTTAGAATTGAGTCAGTGGTGATAGGTGTTTTTTTCTGTTTTGTTTTGTTTTTCTTGCCAGAATATTCAGATCTTTAAATCTATCTGTATGAGATGGCAAAGGACATCCTGGGAAATAATGCATTTTAAGGGATGCTAGGATCATCTACAATTTGGTCCATTCCCATATACCGACTTGGGAGCAGAGGGTCAACGTTGAGAAAGGCATTCTGTGTCACTTGGTCTACTCTCCAGCCCAACCCTCATCAAGTGTGTTTAAGCACTGAGGAGAGGGAGTCAATGCACTGTTTGTTTTGTTGCTTTAATATCAGTCATTGTAAGCACAAGCCAGTCTACCACAGTCCTCTCAATCTTCGTGTACTTACTCCATGTATGTACAACCATCCATGGGGCTTTTTGTTCTCTTAGGTCCTCAGCTATGAGGCCCAAACGCTCCAAGAAAATTTTGTACCTAGATTACTGATCACATTTTGAGCCTGTAAGTAGAATTTCCAACATCTTTTCTCAGTGGCACCCTTGCTCTTGTTTCTTCCAAGACAATCTCCCTGCAAGGCACTACAACTGAAACGCTGAAGTGTTCAAGCTCCTCTTGCTTGACTTCTGATCTCAACTCATAAGAGAAATCCATTTAGCCAGAGGCATTCAAGGATGTATTGATTATTACTTTCAGCTCTCTGGCCCCTAATCCACACAGGAGAGCTCTGTCCTCCTTCCCTTTTCCCTTTTCGTACAGTAAGCAAAATGTGCAGGTCTTTCAGGATGTTCCTCCTGTAATGCCTGTGTTGTTTGTGGGTTGTTTTTTTTTTTTTTTTTGATGTTGTCTTCACATAGTATTTTTAAAAATGGATTTTTTTATAGATATTTAAATATGAATTCATCTTTTTTAATTATTCATAAAATGAATAATTTGAATAATAAATAAAATGAATAATTTACTTGTCACCAAAAACTTGTTGTTGTTGTTATGTGCCGTTGAGTCGGCCCCGACTCATAGCGACCCCTCCTTGGGTTTCCGAGGCAGTATCACTACGGAAGTAGGATTGCCCAACCTTCCTTCCGAGGAGTGGCTGGTGGGTTTGAACCGCCAGGCTTCTCGTTACCAGTCAAGTGCTTTAGCCACTATGCTACCAGAGCTCCCCACCAAAAACTATGTAGTGATAATATTTACTTAATTATATTGTCACTAAGCTCCATCTTTTTTATTATTTAATTTTAAAACTGAAACCCTAGGGCAGTTTTCTCAAGAGCATATGTTTGGTGGTGATGAGCTGTATGAGTAACTAAGAGCTTAAATATAAATTATGCTTCAGCTCTTTTATAAAGTGTTTATTCTAGATTATAGTAAATTCTGTGGAAAAATCTAAAGCAAGAACTTTGATCCTGTGCCTTTGAAGTCTTTAATGTAATGCTGTTTATTTCTGTGCTTTTCTCAGAGTTTTTCTTTTTAAGAAACTGATTTGTTTTATTTTGTTGTTTCAAAAACCTCTTTTTTTGTACAAAGTTTAAAAATCCATGTGAATAGGAAAAACCTAATAAGAACCATGATCCTTGTTGTTTTGTTTTGTTTTGTTTTGTTTTAAACTAAAAGCAATCTAACATTGAAAGGAATTTAAATGAGAATCTGGAATAGATTAAATTGACAGAGACCCCTATCACCCTCCAGGAAAACATTTGCACATTCTCGTCATGAATTTTTAAGTCTATGAGAATTAATTTTTTTATAACATCAGTTATAACCAGTCCACTCTGGTTATTGTATTTTGTAAGTGGCATCTAACCCTACAGAAAATGTCAGTATAAGTCTGCTGTTTTTGGCCAGAAGTTTTCTGCACATCACAGTCTTTACATGGGGAGCTTATAAATGAGCTACATTATGACCTATTTTACAGGTGTAGTTTTTTTAACTTGGTAGGCACGGGTGTTGCTGATTTATGGTTATACAAATAACCACTCAAGTGTCTGAAGAAAACCATTGAAATAAAGTAATCTACTTACATCATTCGTAAGAAAATACATTTTACCAGTTAATGCATTACGAAGAAAGTTAGTGGCAGGAGGCAATGTGATGTGTTGAGGGAGGCAGAGAAGAGCAGAGATGGGATGGATAGATTTCAGGATGATTGCATGCTTTAAAACTAGAAGCAAAAATATCTCAGCAGTTTCTCAAGAATTTGCATGTTTACAATGACCATTCATTTACTTATTCATTCAACAAGTCTTCATTGGGAGTCTTCATTGGCATTCATGGTGCCAGTCATTGACAGGCCCCGGATAACAGAGCAGAAAGTAACACAGTAGAGTGATGATCTCAGAGCTTGTCTAGGGTTCTTGCTCCATGCTTGCCTTCCCTTGATGACAGGGCACCTGATGTCATTTTCTATCATTCCTAAAGCTTTACAGCACTGATTAAGTGTGTTTATTCATTTCAAAGTTTATGAGCAGAGATAATTTTATTGAGACCATATCTTTCTACTCTTTTCATTTTGCCTACCTAAAATTATTTCTCTTTTTGCCTTTGAGGTTGCTTGTTTTATTTGGCCAAATATTGTTCCACAGTGTCTCTTAATTGACAGATGTAGATGAATGGATGGATGGATAGATGGATGTTGGGGTGGGTGAGTGGAGAAACCAAACCAAACTCACTGCCATTGAGTTGATTCTGACTCATAGAGACGCCTTTTGGATTTCCCAGGCAGTAAATCTTTATGGAAGTAGATTTCCCAGTCTTCCTTCTGCAGAGTGTCTGATGGATTTGAATAGCCAACCTTCTGGTTAGCAGTCATATGCCTTAGGTACTACACCACTGGATAGATGGATATATGTTTACCATGTTAAGCCACCATCTGGAAAAATTAATGCCCTTGAAAAACATGGACTAAATGCTGGTTAATCTTTAACACATATTACAAATTGCCTATCTCAGTCTGCCTATGTGCATTTTTATTTCCAGTCATGAATATTTTCACTCATTTTATTTTCCTTTAGCAGAGTGTTATAAAGCAAAATTGAAAGTATCAGAGCTTTCCTTCTATTTCGATGCACAGTATATGAGCTGTTGGACCCCAGAATGTTCAAGTCTTCATTTGGTGAGTTTTGGCATCTCAATTACTAAATATGAAGTATTTCCTCTGTTTCAGCACCACACAGATTGTACACTACTCCTGTGAGGCCCAGAACAACTGACAAATCACATTTCAAACCTGGTAAGTTGTTTCATTTTCTCAACATAAGTAACCAGCAAGTCTAGGGAAGTTATAACATGCATTCAAACAGCATGTATTCAAAATGCAGCAAAGGAGAATATGTATCCTAATTGTAATAAAAGCCATACAGAAATTCTGAGGACTATAGAGACACTAATGAATCCAGGGAAGTGATAGGATTTTATGGTAATTTTTCAAGATCGTCAGATTCAGAAACCTCTATGGAACTTTATCAAAGGAAATTGGGGATTTAAAAGTATTTTTTAAATAGTGTTTATGTGTAAGTCATGCACACATGTGTAATTTCAATTTTCCATGACAATTCTAATGATAGCGTAGAATTAGCTGTGACATGATACTTCCTGTTGTTAGATGCTGTCTCATAGTGACCCCATGTACAGCGGAACCAAACACTGCCCAGCCCTGTGCCGTCCTCACAATCACCACTCTGTCTGAGCCCATTGTTGAGCCACATCTCATTGAGTCTTCCTTTTTTATGTTGACCTTCTACTTTACCAAGCATGATATCTTTCTCCAGGAACTGACCTCTCCTGATAACAGGTCCAAGGTACATGAGACAAAGTCTCACCATCCTCCCTTCTAAGGAGGATTCTGGCTGTACTTGGGAGACAGATTTGTTCATTTTTCTGGCAATTTGTGGTATATTTAACATTCTTTGCCAACACCATAATTCAAAAACATCAATTCTTTTTTGGTGTTCCTTATTCATTGTCCAGATTCCATATGCATAGGAAGCAATTGAAAATACCATGATTTGGGTTAAGTACACTTTAGCCCTCAAAGTGACATCTTTGCTTTTGAGTACTTTATTTATTTATTTATATTGTGCTTTAGGTGCAAGTTTACAGATCCCAGTTTGTTTTACATTCAATGTTACATGTACGTTTAGTTTCACTCCCCATTTACCATCCCCAACCCTAACCCAGTCTCCTCCCCTCCCTGCCCAGTACCCCCACACACACATGCACCTCATAGTTATGACTCCTGTGTGTCCTGCATTTCCTCAGTGGGAATGTTGCCCCTCTGGTGCCCCATGGTTGATTGCTTCAAGGGATTCATTTCAATAGAGTATATGGGTGCATCACTCTGGTTTGAGTGGTCTGCCTGTACATCTTGTTTACTATTGGGGTGAGAGCCAGCCCCTGGGAATGAGTTTTATTGCAGGCCCAGGATGTATCCCAGGGCCATAGTATTGGGGGTCTCACCAGACTCCATCTGACCAGTAATTCTGGTCATTTTTGAGTTTTTGGATTTTGTTGCACTTTTTTCCTCTCACTCTATCCAGGATCTCCAGATTTGATCCTTTCCTGAGTGGTTGACATTGCTAGCCAGGCACCATCTAGTTCTGGTCTCCATCGTGTCCTAGGGCTGATTGCTTCCAAATGCCTTTGTTTTTTTTTTTTTTTTTTTTTTTTTTTTGCACTCTTCTTTGCTTCCAATGATAGGAAATCATTAGCTGCATCTTAGATGGCTGCTTGAAAGCTTTTAAGACCACAGTCACTACTCACCACTGTAGGATGTGGAACAAGACTTTTATGTATTTTGTTGTACCAATTGAGTCTGGTGTCCCCCGATACTATGGTCCTGAGTCAGTAGATCTGTTGAATCTCTCTGCCACAGTGTCTGGCTGTCTGTGAAGGATTACTCTATGTCTGTCTTCTGTTGTTTCTGTAAGGATCGCAGGTATTTTGTATCACTGGTATCCGTGCAAGATTAGCCTCTGCTGAATCTATTCTTTGTCTAGAGTATACTCCTATTCACTGACCCCTGTCTAATCTTCTCAGATGTTTATGTGTTTATCTGTAGCCTGGTGTTTGATGTTAATGGTAATGTAGTATTATGGATATACTGGTTGGTATTAACATCTGTCGTCTATCTCTTATGAGCACAATTCAGTGTCCTCCCTTTTCCTAATGTTATCATGGTGGTTTCAGACTCCTTCTATACATCCCTCCCCTTACCCACATCAACATGTGGACCCCAACTAGCCTGAAATTAATCCCTCCCCTTCCCTCCCCACCCCAGTAACCTACAAAGTGAGTTCCCGTTCTTAAGCAAACCCTGATTTTGAGTACTTTAAAGAGGTCTTTTTTGGCAGATTAGTCCAATGCAGTGTATCTTTTGTTTATTGATTGTGGATCCAAGTAAAATGAAATTTTTGAAAATTCCAATTTTTTCTGTATTATCATGATGTTGCTTATTGGTCCAGTTGTGAGGATTTTTTGTTTTCTTTATTTTGAGGTGTAATCCATACTGATACCTGTAGTCTTTGATCTTCCTCAGTAAGTTCTTCAAGTCCTCTTCGTTTTCAGCCAGCAAAGTTATGCCATCTGCATATTGCAGGTTGTTAATGAATCTTCCTCTAATCCTGATGCCATGTCCTTCATATAGTCCAGTTTCTCAGATTATTAGCTCAACATACAACATACTTCTTATTATCAATTATTATTTATCTTTTAAGAAAAGACAGTCTCTTGCAATATAAAAAGGCTCTTGCTCTGAGAAAATATTTTTATTTGATTCTCACACAGGTAAAACACATTATACAGGTTGTAAACAGCAAAAATAAATAATTATACATTGGGAAATATTTTAACTTTACTTAAATTCTACAAAGAATGTAGGAGCTCTTTCACTGGAGGTTGTTTAAGGAAATCTTTACTTGGAGGGGTGGATTTGGTTCATGTAAATTGCTCCTACACTAAAATACAAGGAGGACTGAAGACTGTTTGTTTGTTTGTTTTTCTGTCCTTTTTTTTTTTTTTTTTTTTTTTTGCTGTGATTCTAAGAAGTCTTTTTAAAATTCTAAATGATAGAACTGGCTTATAAAGCATGTTCTTGGTGAACATCTGTCTATATACATAGAAGAAAGAATAAATTGTTTTTTATATCCTTTGCTTTATGGAGAGGAGTTCTGGTAGCATAGTGCTTAAAGCACTTAACTGCTAATCAGAAGGCTGGTGGTTCAAACCCACCAGCCACTCCTTGGAAGGAAGATGGGGCAATCTACTTCTGTAGTGATACTGCCTTGGAAACCCAAGGACAGGTCACTATGAGTCTAGTCCAACTCGATGGCACATAACAACAAGAAAAACTTTATGGAGAGCCCATTTTTTTTTTTTTTTTTTTGCAATAATCAGATGGTAATTATAGACAGAGATCTCTTATAAACAAATATATTGCTATGTGATTTTTGTATCATGATAGCTGTTGAAAACTTAGTGTGTTATATTAAACACTTTTCCAAAAATAATGAAATGATGACAAAAATGGCTAACATTGATTATCTGTCATGTGCCCAGTGAGGTTCAGTTGAGGAAGTTAAGGCACAGGTTGGAGCTAGAAAGTAGATTCAAATCCAGTCTGTCTCCAGAACTTGGCACTCTCACTCAAAATATACTTTATGTTTTTATTGAAAGTATATTCTAAATGGAGGATAAAACACATGACTTCTTAAAGTTCTAGGTACTTCTGTGGCTCTCTACAGAGTAGAAGATAAATTAAAATAGTTTCAACATAGTTCTCTGTTCAGTAAATTGACTTGCCCCATAATTATCCTGTGGTAGCATCAATAACTAGAAATTCCTGCAAAAAGACCACCACATTACAAGTTATGAATTAAAGTCTTGACAAATACACTTCAGGTTTTGGTTTCTCATTAAGCATATATAGTCCTGATATTTCTTCAGTTCCATCTTAGAGGGCATCTAATGGTTATAAATGAACCAAGATATTGCCCACTTAGAATTATAAATTCCCTTGCCAATTATCTTTTCAAGTTAAATATTGAAGCCCAGTATTGACTCAGTGTGCAAATTCAGGTCTCTATTCCCAAATTCAAGTCTGTGAATTTTATAGAATTGTGGTTTCCATATTCTGAACAATATTTTTTGGTAAGCCATCTTTTTGTTTTGTTTTGTTTTAATTCCCAGAAAATGACTTGCCATTCTCTGTGAAGTTTTTTTTTTTTGGTCCCTTGGCTGCAAAGTTTTAATGAGAAAATATTTGAATTATTTATTTCCCATTTTATTATAGTTATGAATAGGACAACTGCAAAACCTAGACCCAAACCCATTGGAATACCCAAAGAGAATGGAGTGAAAAAGAATGGAGTGAAAACAGGTAATGTTCACAAATTTATTTCCTTTTGGTCCTATCAAAGCTATAAATGTAATTAATTAGTCTCTATAATTCTGTTGAAGTTATACTTCTATTTCTTTTTCAGCAATTGTGGAAGTTCTAAGTATACTGTAATTAAAATGGTATCTCATGCCAATATAAAAACTTCAAATGGTTATGGATATATTAAAAAAGAATTTTTTACTTTTCATAACCCAGTCTACTATATTAACTACCACATACAACCTTGATTTTTTCAAAAATCCTGATTGAATATAAATTATTGAACAAAAATAATCCAAATAGCTGTTTTCTCTAATCTCAAAACACTTACCATACAGAGGCTTGATCTTGAAACTAATTATTGGTTTTTAGTTGTAACATCACAAGGGCCATTACAGTTTTTTGCCCCCAAAGGACTGTACTTGGTAGCAATCTGCAATATGATGGTTAAACAAGAACAAATAAATTTAATCAGAGATATTAGTAATTAATCACCCAAGTTACAGCCTTACTAACATTCCCAAATCATGTACCTTAATTAAATCATCCAGTTAAATGTGTGGGATTAGGCATCACACAGATAAGTAGATAAGTAGGACCACTGGTCTGGTCAAAATGTAAACACCACACTCACCAAGTGGTAGTTATGAATCCTTTTAGCATGGGATTATACCTTTCCCTTGAAGTATATTTTAAATAGTATAAACCCTGTGCTTGCTGATGTAGGGGGGGAAAAAAGCATGAAAATTATAATTTGTTTTATATATATATTTTTTTTCTTCAACCCATGATGTTCTCTAATGAAAAAGAGATGTGAATAATGCTTGAAGTTATTTAGTCTAAAAATAATTTTGATT